GACTACATTGCAAGTAAACACATTAACAGCGAATTTCCATTCAAAGACCACATGCATTAATCATTCCATGACAATCACGCCTTTAATAGGTGTAATAAAAACTATACTATAATTGTTATTTTACTAGTATGGGTTTTTTAAATAAATTGAAAATAATGCATGAAATTTGCTTGTACACCGTGGTGTATATTTTGACGCTATACCTAGTAGGTGCCGTTGAAATATTTTGAACAGTGCATAGCAGTGTAGTGTCAATTTTGATCTGTGATTAAAACCAATAGTATTTGTTGTTATGCCACTATGTCAATAAATTAAATAAAAAATAAAACACTAAAGAAACACTGAGATCAAATCTACTTGCCTCTCCTATATAAGTGAATTTTATTATATACGTGATAGTGGCAAAAAATGAAACTTACCTTTATTTTAATTAAACCTACAAAATTTAGTCTAATTTACATAAAATAAACAACTAAGCAATTTATTAACTATACAAAATAATCATTTTTATTTTTCTTATTTTAAATAAGTTAATAAAATATAATTTCCGGTTTTTACAGTTTGTGTTTAAAGATTAATAATAATGTAAAATGTTATATATCTTAACTTGTAAAATTTTATGAAAAAATGAAATGTAACAATGAACAAGTTATATATGCTTGATATAATACTAGTGCCCAGTTTCACCAAAACTAATAACGCGAAATTATTTTCACTCTTCAGATTTCAATCTAAACTATTTCTGTATCACCACACTATTCTGAGATTCCGTAAATTGGAATTATTGGGCGAAAAAAACTTAAACGTGGTTTGTATTTTAGTTTCCATGTTTAGTAGATCTTCAAATAAAATATCTTTCTTCCTAAATAATATTATAATAAATATCGTAACATCATTTGTGTTAAGTAAGATATGAAGCTGCAGTCTTCAGCAAATATGGCAGCATACACATCTGGACAGAGATCTTCAAATCTATGCGACGAGATTTACGTACGTACATAACTTTAGTACAGCTCGTATTGAAGAAGCGATCGAGCGAAACTAAGGCTCCAGTCTTTGCCAGAGGTATTTCTGCCAGAAAGAGCCAACTGTTGAAGCTGAAGACCGAATATGGTAGCATCGTTTCCGGGTCACCTGAGATACTGAGTGAGATTGAGGGGTTCTATGAGCAGGTACACACGTCATCGTTGGAGCCATGCGCAAGTGTGAGTAACGATCTAATAGCAAGTCTTCATCATCATCATCATCATTACAGCCCTTCACAATTCCACTGCTGAACATAGGCCTCCCCCAAAAAATGCCACAAAGCACGGTTCTGAGCCACCTGCATCCATCGACTTCCTGCATGTCTTACCAGGTCGTCACTCCATCTCGTGGGGGGACGCCCTACACTTCGCCTACCGGTACGAGGCTGCCACTCGAGAACCTTTCTTCCCCATCGGTTGTCGGTTCTTCGAGCTATATGGCCGGCCCACTGCCACTTCAGCTCACCAATCCGTCAAGTCTTATACGAAACTATTCCAATGATCCTATGACATCAGTCTGAGCGGGATTAGAATGGCTCTTCAGCACCTTAAAATCGACAAGGATGGAATTACAGCGGAGCTTCTGAAAGTGAGTGGAAAACCGGTACTCAAGTCCTTCGTAAACTCTTCAATCCGTCCTCCAAGATGGCACTACACCGGAGGCGTGAAGCAGAAGTGCGTTGGTATTGTTCTTCAAGTAAAGTGACAACACTCTATTAAACCGATTTCTGAAACACGTCTACGTTTTGTTTTAGGAAGTCATTACGAATCATCCAGCACACAGACTTAACGATTTCGAGCCTCCCGAATATTTGTTTCCAAAAACCTTGTGTCATAGAATACAAACAAACCTTTTGGCAAATTGTACAGAAGACCAAAAAATACAATCTACCACTTTGATTTTCGTATGTGGACTGTGAAATAGCCTTTGATTCCGTCGAAGTTTGGACGGTGGTACAGTCCCTTCAGCTTTTGACTCAGCAAGTTGACTATGGGTATATCGTAGTCCTGAAGTGTTTGTACAGTAGGGCTACGAATGCTATCCAGAATACGAAACCTGAGACTAATAACTGCGGAGTGGTGTAAGACAGGGTGTCGTTATATCTCTAAAACTTTTTAGGACCCTGGCGGACCTTATCGCTATGGTCAACTAACTATTTTAATAGTACCTCCCAACAGTTTGTGTGTAATATGTATGTCGCACCTACAGTGTCACACCGACAGTGTAAGTTGAGAGCATTATGCTCGAAGTTCTTGACGAATATATTTACTATTAACATATTCGATGTTTACAAATTGTCCGACTAGTTTACTCCAACTTCGACCGAGAGGTAAATTGACGGATCCAACTCGTCTGAGCAGCGTTCGGGAGATTATGACACAAATTCTCGTCAATATACGAGACCTCAAAACTTGAACATAAGTGTTTTCAAGTGCCTGTTTATATTGAGCTTGGTTCTTCACTACTGGCCGTATAAGAAAATTCAAGGTTGCTACGTAAACTATGAAGAGCGATTTCTCTGCGCCATGGACTTCCCAATGTGGAATACAGTAGAACCAAAGTAAACGACAAATCGCAACGGATCAGTAAGTTAAAATGGCAATGCACTTAGCTGGAAGAACCCTCATTACATGGGGAAGAAAGGTTCTTGAGTGGCTGCTTCGTACAGATATGCGAAATGTATAGGCCGGCCCTCCACTAGACGCAGGGACGATCTGGTAAGAGATACAGGAAATCGATAAATGCAGGTGGATCAGACCGTGCTTAGTGGCATTCCTTGGGAGAGGCCTATGTTCAGCAGTGTGCTTGTGAAGGCTGTAATGATGAGGATGATGAAAGAAAGATCTAATTTAAAAGTACTAAGAAAAAAATTAAATCGTCACTAATTAATATGTTAAAATTAACAGTCACATTATAGAAATAAAATCATATGCATGAATGAATGATTTCTATTAGGAATTTTACATGAAATTAATCGTTTTGGTATGGAGCTAAGATGTAAAAATGAGTATTTATACAATGACAATGAGTTTTATATGTATAAAACACGACTATAAAGCTAGAAATATTCCACATAAGTGTGTTATGTCATAATTAGGAAATTCGACCATTACAAGTTGCTAAACTAAACATAAAATAATAATTATATAAGCATATTTGAATCCGCCATTAATATTAAATATCCAATGAAATCACAGCCTTGTTCACGAACTTTTAATTATACATACATTGTGACAACATTTATTTATCTTATTAGGTTGACAAACAGCAAGCAGTTTGGCTACTGCAGACTTGACACCAACCACCACTAAGGTATTGTTACCTCTGAGGAATAAGATGCAATGAGTTCTATTAAAGAATCTATGAGCCATATTAACTATACTGGTTCCCACCAAACGAACTCTCCCAGCCTTTTAAACCGGAGAACAACAATGAGTGATGAGTTAAAGAGGAAGTGGTACCTTTCTCAACAGAATCTTAGACAAAAAAGAAGCCCTACTACCTGGAAAGATTTATTACAATATGCTATCTAAGCAAATATATTCTTTTTTTTTTACAATAATAATAACAATAGATACAACTTACTTTGATAATAAGATTATTATAATTTAAAATTATACTGTCCATATATTGTATAAAATGGTCAAAAATTCTGTTTAGGATAATTAATTATTTTTGTTATAAACTTATTATTTAGCATTTAATTATTGTTTTACATTCACGTAATATTTCTCTTGCATATTTTAACTAAGTATTTGGATACCTTATGCTAATGTAAATAAATAAAGTAAACCTTTAAAATGTTTTTGTGAATGATATTTTAAGAATCTGACACAAATTTTGTAGGAGACACATATTTCAATTATTTCAAGCTTTAGTCGTGTCTTGTAAGTGACATGTGTTTTTTAAATGATGAATGAAAGTAAGTTGTAGAGATTTAGTTGATTATTGACATTCGAGAAATAAACCATCACATAATATTATATTAGTAACAAACACACAATAAACAATTTCATGTTAATGAGGGCTAAGAATCTACCGCTCACCAGATGTCGCTAGTTGGGATGAGGTAAAGATAATTATTGTTACACAGTTTCATTTTATGTGAAAAGTTGCGATTTAATTAAGTTTTTTGGTTTTCAGTGATACATAAAACAATGCATTAGTGGTTGCTTAACTATAATTTTTTTTCAGAAATTTCCGTAGCTTGGTTTATTCATTTTATGTGATTAATATAAAATACAATTAATATTTCAGAAAGAAACATTGAAGTTTATATTTTCCTTACAATTTTAATGATGTGCGGTATTCCTTTTATCAATGTATGATATGCGTCACTTTAGTACATTGTTGCCGATTTTCTAAATATGATTTTAACTAATTTAATGTAGGCCCACGAATTCCATATCTGTCACATTTGTGTATTAGAATAATATGGTCAACACAGTCAAATGTCATTGACATGTCATACTATGAAATCAGTTAATATTTTACCTCATTTCAAAGTGGTGCGGCTCTGGTGGCAGAAAGAGTTATCCTCATTATTAACTAACTAGCCATCTGATAAATCTAGTTTGTAAAGGTTGAACAGAGAACTAGGCAAAATAGATTTTTGATTTTAATGTTAAATTATTTTGTAACAGTTAATAACTCTTTATCGATCGGGTCATGCAAAAAATAAATAAGAGAAACCCATACATATTACAATCGTGTTAAATACGTAGTAATAGAACGGACCGATAACGAGAACTAAAAGTAACATGTAAAATAAAAATGAAAAACGAAAAAAAAAAACGCAAAACTTACGATCGACATAATGGCATAGCGCGCGCCATCGGACGCCATCACGCGGCGGCAACCGACACCGGACGTTAGTGAGTCACTGGGTGCACTGTCACACGGTGGGTTTTGTTGGGTTGATTAGCACTTCGGATGGGGACATGAGAGGTGGTCGGGGGGTACGGTTTTAGTTTTTACGAGGTCGAGTCTTTGAAGAACCATGAGTTCCAGTTCCATTTGCTGCGAACCTTGTCGTGCGGCGGCGTGCGGCGGACCGGGACGGCGGACTTGGCGTCCTTGCGCGGGACGGAGGCGTCGCGCGGCGTCCTGCTGCGCGTGGAGGCGGCGGAGCGCGCCGAGTGCGCCGAGTGCGCGGACGCGGGCCGCGGCGGCGGGCGCGGCGCGGCGCCCTTGTGCGGCGTGTGCGCCGAGTGCGCCGAGTGCGCCGAGTGCGCCGTGTGCAGCGGGATGCGGGACGGCCGGCGCCGCGCCGCGCTCGCCGCGCCCGACGCGCCCGACGCGCGCTCCTCCTCCTCGTCGCCCATGTGCAGCGGCTGCATCTCGCGCATGCTGCTGTGCGCCGCGCTGTACACCACGCCCTCCGACCGCTTGCCCTCCAGCTGACGCAGGCGCGCCCGAGCGCCTTCCAGCTCTATGCTCCTCTCCTCCAACTGTAAGTCATCACCACCGTTACAGCTTATCAAATGTCCACCACTGCTGAACATATTAAACCTCTACCATATGTAGAGAAGATATTTGTCGTAGTTGCCACGCTTGGCATTTATTTCTTATTAGGAAAATGCTGCTGCTCATTTCCCAGTTTGTTTCCCCCGTGTCGACTTTTACGACCCCAGGGTACGATATAAGTTAGTAAATATTCTTACACCCCCACTACACCATCAACTATAAATAAATGCGTCCATTTAATACTATCGAACGGATACCCAGTATACGTTACAATATTATTTTCTTCACCAGTGACCGTACACAAACTCACCAAAGTTTCATCATAATCAGACGAATGGAACCAAATAAGAAAGATCTTCGGTTACCAACCCGCCTGCCGAGCGTGACAAATATGAGGCATATGGTCAACAGTATACTTTTAATAAGCTCTTATGTAATGGCCAAAACCATAATTACGTCTCTGAGACTGCACGGATATATGTAGTTATAACATAGACCACCTTTATAAATTATATAATAAATTACTCGACAAACATCAGTTTCCTTTTTCAAGGGATTACCTTGAAAAAGGAAACTGATAATCATATTCTCTGTGCATAGGAAAACTCAAATGCTTTGGATATATTATTTGATCTTTCCAAAGCTTTCGACTGCGTTCACCATGAGACACTAATCAGAAAGCTACATCATTTTGACGTAAGAAACATAGCGCTTAAACTTATTACATATAAATGATTCTATTCTATTTATGCTGAATGTCCATTCTGTAGCGCCTTGCCGACTCCGATACACTAATTTGTCATTAGACAACACCTTATTAGTGCGCAAGTGCGATGTTTAGTCTCTGCGGTAACCGAACGGCTCAATCTAGTAAGGATATGCAAATCTTTAAATTAAATATACCACTTTTTGACATTCTTGAAAAGAAATATTGCCAGCAGCGAATTAGGAATATTCGTAATTTGTTTCCTGTGGCCTAGGTCATAAACATTATTGCTATGCTATTATTAATCATAAAAACCGTTGTTGAGCAAAGCACGATTTTAAAACGTTTTATATGCATCGCCTTAGAGCATACCATCTTCTAGTGTTGACCTACTCTTTTGGTATCAGATATACACACTTTATATTCAACCAAACCTAAGAAATACCTTTTGACAGCTGTGTGAATTATTGGACTAGACATGCCATCCAAATAATCGGTACGAAGAGTATTCGATTCTTAAGAAAAATCGATATCGATTATTTAGTTTGTAATCATTTACAGTTTTGTTTCGATTAATACCAGAACAAATTAGAAATGAATAATTTAAAACACAAAATGTATCAGTTTCTTCGTATTTATCGCATGGCATATTATGAGGCGCCCATCTATCCCGCGAGCACCTTCGAGCAATCGTCGAGTCATCTGTCCAAATCTGCGCATTGTGTAAAAAGGTATTTTTTAGATTTGGTTGAGTATAGCTTGAAACTCTTTCTATCCCAAGTTTATCAATTCTTTTACTATTTTATCTACCTTTTAAAAATTTAGTTTATATTATTTTGCTTCAAACCCTTTCCACCCCACCTATATCAATTCATTTACAACTTTATCTACCTTTTATATCTTTATTTTCAATTATTTTGCTTCCAAATTCGTTTCCATATATGTTATTTGTAGAATTAATTAAAGTCCCAGAAAATAGAACTGTCTTTTGTGTCTATATACTGTATTATACTACAACACTTCATTGACACAAAAAAAACCAAATAACTGTAAAATTTGTTCTGTAAATCACACTTTCAAATATATATATATATAAATCGCCGCTTTGGTAGTGAAGAGAGTCAACCCACACTTAACAAGTTTTGAGATAATGAGCATTTAAGATGCGATACTATACAAAAAATAACAATTAGTCCATAACTTCAAAAGTATTGGATAGATAAAATAATTTGGCAAATATATCTCTTCACCATCGTATAAATCGTATTCCTTTGATTATGCTAGAGTATTAAACTCAATTTGAACAAAGTTGTGGATTGACTCTCTTCACCACCAAAGCCAATATATATATATATATTAATTTATTAATCAAAAGGACATATTTCAAACTTGATTTGTACCATTAACCAACAATGGTTTGTATTGGTACTCACATTCGCAACTAACGCGTTGCTTCACATTAAATAATTTATATAATTTAGATGTATATTGTAAAGTGTACTTAAACTCCAATTCTATTTAGTTTATGATTTCTTAACCGAAAGTATTCATCTAGAAAACTACTGCAGTACTACTAACACGAAATTTAGACAAGATAAGGTGACCCTGTGACTAATGTAGTCGTGAATGCAAGTCTAGGCAAAAAAAGTCATGGTCACAGGTTGGAGTTATTTAATATTGATTTATTGAGAAATATGAAAACATTAGGTAGGTCTGTATATAAATGATGATTGGTGGTTTTGAATAATATCAGTTTGATTAACATGGGCATATTATACAGGGTTATTTTGCAATATACGCCCAAATTTGCAGAGAAAGTTCAGAATAAATAATATAGGCGAATGGTGAAGAAAAATTAATTAAAAGAAACTGAAACATTCTAACCTTTTCATCTTTTAAATTCCGAATGCGTGGTAATGCATTATTTTAACTGATTGTCATTCATAAATATCCAATGCCTACTATTTTACTACGCACGCGCACATTCACAAGGATTGCTCGGTCGGCAAAGAAGTGAATATAATCAGAGGACCGCGCTTATGCGCTTGTTGCCCATAAATCACATTCAATTTGGGATAATTTCAAATAAAAGTAGAAGCCACTCGTACTTTACTTTTTTTTTACTCGTATTTTCAAAAACTGCAATAATAGTATATTACTATTTACACATTTGAACTTAAATATAAAATTTGAATACTCTTTGAAAAAAAAAAACTGTTTACTATAATTTGTGATTTACACTTTAGGCACTTTTTTATAGGATAAGGGTGACAAACGAGCACACAGTCCACCTGATGGTAAGTGGTTGCTGCGGCCCATAGACATCCATAGTTGTCACCCGTGAGGACTAAGATGGAATGCCTCATTTCCAGTAAAAAGGGCCTCCGGCCACCTGCACTCACCAAGCGAAACGCAGAGGTAAACCTCTACTTCACGCTGGTTTTCTGTGAGGTCGTGGTACCACCCCGGTTCAAGCCGGCCCATCCGTGCGACAGCAAAAGCCGCGTGGCTCTACCACTGTTAAAATTTTTCACTGTTTTAATACCAACAGTAGTTTATATTTGGTATTAGGTTTAAGCTATTGCATACAAGATGTTACGCGGAAATATGTGGACTAAAATGCAAAGTATGGAATTCGACAGCAAATCTAATTTAGAGAAGACGCGACTTTCTAGAGGATTCTTGAACCATAGTAAAGACCGAGACTATTTATCAAGTCGCATTTTGCTCTGTCGACGAGATATGGGGCCTACTTACTCTAAATTTGAGGTCTTCATTGATATTTCTGGCGCACTCAAGTCTCTCCAGAAGCTGCGACCTTTGATTTGCCGCCCGTTTCAGCTGCTCGCAGTACATCTGGAATAACATACAAACATTTTTAAATATAGTACTTATTACTTTGTGCATATATTAATGTCCTTCTTTATCGTTAGTCTAGGCACAGCTCACAATTTTGACATGGGCCTCTCCCACAGAAGAAAAGACTGGCCGTCATCGCCACGCTTGTCATGGTTAGCTATAGCAGTATGAAATCTTTTTTGCCTTGGACGACACTGTCCGTCGTCGGGCTGTGTATATGCTGAGATGATGACATCGGGACGTCAATCACCTCAGTCCCCCGTTACCATGGGTGCTGGAAAGCACCCAAAACGTCGGGAATTAATAAAAATAAGTTAATTAAACGCGATAAAATCCGTAAAAGTAGTTTTATTTTACACTGATCTTAGTCAATTAATTTTAACATTTTTAATATACGGGATAGTTTGTTTATTCCGGAAGCCTCAAGGTCTTTCTAATACTTCCCAAAGTCGACTCTTAGTCGATACCTAATAGATGGGATGGGGTGATAATCTTAGGCGACTTTATAAGGCGCATGTTCGGCCGCACATGGAATACTGTTCTCTACCTAGTCTGTGGGCTACCTAGTCCCAGCTCCTTCCATTTGATCGCATCCAGCGCAGAGCTGTTCGAATCGTCAGGAACCGAACTCCGTCAGATTGGCTTGACTCACTAGCACTGCGAAGAGATGTTGCATGTCTTTGCGTATTTTATCGCATTTACCACGGGAAGTGCTCTGAGGAATTGTTCGTACTAATTCCAGCCGCACAATTTCACCATCGTACATCGCGACAAAACTCGCGATACCATCCATACTATCTGGATGACTGGCGGTCCACCATTGTGCGATTAAAAAGAAGTTTTCTCACCAGAGATTTTTCCGGACCGATACGACTAGGGACCTTCAAGAAAAGAGCATACTCCTTTTTAAAATTCCCCAGTTGTTAATGGGCGGCGGTAATAACTTACCATTAGGTGAGCCATATGCTCGTTTGCCCCCTCTCCTAAAAAATACAGGCGTAAATTTCGCAACTTCCTCTCCACAACGTCGTCGCTGATTAAAACCCGTGTTTATGAAATAAATACATAATTGAGCACGCTAAATAGGCACTAAAAATGCAAATAGTCGCATACCGTAAAGATAAATAGTAGGTACGTAATGCTTATCGGATATGAATGTACCGCAACCTTCAAATTTAGTGAGCGTAGGTACGTGATTCGCGCAATGCAAATTTGTAAGATTGTAAGTGGGGTAAGTATGATGTGAAAGCCAGGTGCATTTTTATAAATTTTCAAAACCGAATTAGAAACCTGTATATATAAAAGTATTAATTAATTCATTCATTAATTACAGGCTATCAAAGTCCACTGCTGAACATAGGCCTCCCCATAGATTGCCTCACAAGAGGGATATTTTTCATAGTTGTCAAGCTTGGGAGGCAGGTCGACAACATTGATGTTGGGGTTGATGGACGTTGCTGTCCATATCATGGTTTGTTTCTCTCTGTCGGCTCTTACGTCACCTACGGGATTGTGTATATTCTTACACCACCACTACACGGTATTTAAAGTATGCTGACAGTGAAACAATAGCTCTCTTACGTATTTTTATTCTTACAAAACACTTATTTAGGTATATATTTAAGGAAAAACAACAAACAAATCAATGATGTTTTCGTCTGGTGTTACTGTAGTTATCCCTGTGTATTTGATTGACCTTGAATTTTAAATCACCGAATCACAGTGCAAAAAAATACGATAATGGAGCTCCTTTGTATTATGTTATGGTAGAGCTTATGGCACTATTTTATGAGTGCGCAGTTAATTTATAGTTATTAATATCGCGATTGACAATAATCGAAAGTATTCCACTCATTGGTGTAGTTACAATCTTGTACTACGATTAAGCACGTTTTAAAAGCAAACTTAAATAAATCATTCGGTATAAAGTAAACTGCAAAGTCCGTTACAAAACATACAGCGGAGACCAACAAAGGACAGTCGAATGGATTCTTTTTTACTAGTTTAATGGCGATGGTTGGCTGATCGCGGCTACAGTCCATTAGGCTTCATTGTTCCGCGACATTTTGCTGAATTCTAAGTTACGTCACAGCGTCACACTGCCCCTGATTATACCAATAACAACTCGCACGTACTTTGTTACCTCACTGGTACTGTGTACAAATTAAAGCTAATTACTGATCACTGTGCACTTTATGCCACAGAGATAAAAGGGATATTCGTTTGTATTATACAGTATTGTTAAGTAGTAACAACTACAACTGAGAGCGCGAAAGAAAAATTTTAGTCGTTAAAAGTTTTTAGAAAACATTGTGCAATTTGCTTGTTCACATCAAAGGAGAACATCGCGAAAGCTGACAAGTCAAGCTGATATGTCATGATTCACGTCACATCTAAACACATGTTGACAAAACCGTCGAATATAAGCGACCTCCAAACATTTCATTGATTAATGATTAGATTAAGGATAATCTCGTTTTTGCGTACTGCATACACTTTAGTACTATAGTATAGGCTGCACTAAAAGTATCGGGAATAGAATATTTCCACTGTTCCTGTCATATTAAAATCTTTTTAATTGAAAAGTCCTTGGTTTTGAAAATCGAATACCATTTATTTATTTAAAAAAAAGATTCTCGGTCTTGTCACAAGGTTTTGTCAAACTTAGACATTGGCATGAGTCAAATACAAATAATCTTGCATGAACAATTAGGTGTAAAAAAGTTGTTTTCCCGATAGATACCGCATTCGCTCTGTGAAGAGCAAAAAGCGGTTCGCGTTACTTGGTGCGTCAGAATTCGAAAGATTCCACGCAGGATCCTCAAATGCTGTATACAACATCGTATCAGGTGACGAATCCAGGATATACGCGTACGAACTCGAAACAAAAAACCAGTCACGAATTTGGGTGTTCGAAAATGAGTTAAAGCCAACAAAAATTGTTCGTTCACGGAGTGTTGCAAAAAAAATGGTGGCCACGTTTGTCTCCAAAACCGGCCATGTTACGACTATTCCTCTTGAGGGGCAAAGAACGGTTAATGCAAAATGGTATGCTAGCATTTGTTTGCCACAGGTCATTTCTGAACTCCGTAAAGAGAACTGCAACCGCCGCATCATCCTCCATCACGACAATGCGAGTTCTCACACCGCACACAGAACAAAAGAGTTTTTAGAGCAAGAAAACATAGAACTATTAGACCATCCGCCGTACAGCCCCGACCTAAGCTCTAATGATTTCTATACTTTCCCTAAAATAAAGAATAAATTGCGTGGACAGAGATTTTCATCACCTGAAGAAGCTGTGGACGCCTACAAAACGGCCATTTTGGAGACCCCAACTTCCGAATGGAATGGTTGCTTCAATGATTGGTTCCATCGTATGGAAAAATGTGTCAAATTTTGCGCAGAATACTTCGAAAAGCAATAAATACCTTTTTAAATAGTAATGTTGTGTCACTTCCTTGATTCCCGAAATTTTCAGTGCCACCCTCGTACAATGACAAACAGAATAGTTCAATTATTGTGAATGAGACCACTTTTACGCTTTCATCTCACACCTCACACACCTCAAACATTTCAGCCTTACCTGTTGTGATTATTGTGACTGCCTCGTTGGCCTCGACTGTAACTGTAACACGGAAAGTAGTTGGTCCTGCGCCTGATTACTTTCTGATCCTATCGGTTTTCCATCCCACCGGACTATAAGAGTGAGGAATAAAAAAGTGCACCTGTGTTTTGCGCAACAATTTGTACATTATAATCCTATCCTGCGCCGATGGCTAGTTTCCTTTGGACAGGTGGCTGTGACCGTCTTCCGGTGTGGAGGATATCATTGATATATAATGAGTAGTGTCAGTGCACTAGTAATTTGCAACAGGTCACTATATGCAGTCGCTTTTTATGTAATGATGAACGTAGCGATCTTTACTCTCTGGACAAACTTTTAATCAAAATTAAGATCAATATATTATACATAATATATTGGTGTTAATTTCGAAAGATTAAAAACAACAAAATAATTTGTATTTCGTAGCAAATACGAACCTGGTTTTGTACGACGGAGGTGAGGAGTTGCCTTTGAAGTTCTACGGGATTGCTCTCTTGGAGAATCGCCGCGAATTTCTTCGAATCGGGGTTTGGCACAAGCGGTGTCCGCACTGACGTTTCGAGCACTGTGTCGAGACGACCGAGTAATGTCTGGGTCGGTGGGGGCGGACTCAGAGCAGCGGCTGCCTCCAATTGCGCCGCCCTGGCAAGTAAAGCGTCCCTTTCGCTACGCAATCGGACGAGATCTGTACAATCCCCGCATCCGGCCGACAAAGCTCGAGCGAACGACTCTTCCGTTGTCTCGGATCGTCTCTCATCCAACTCCCCTCGCAGGAGTTCCGCTTCGTCGCGTATACGGATGCCCTTGCGTTGGATAGTATCCAGCAGAGCCCACAGTTCGTCTTCCAGTGGTCGGGATCGGGATGCAGACGCCGAGGCCGAAGCGGAGGAGGAGTGCGCGTCTTTTCCACATGAAGTCTCGGTGCTAAATCCCGAATCTTGTACGGAAGGTTGCGGCTTGGCCCTGGTGGTGTCGCCACTGCCCCCGGCGAGTTTCCGCCGGACTCGCACCCCAGGCTCCCAGTCCCTGCGCGTGCCACTCGCCGGCGTCGACGGTGCCATTTTGGAGCGCAGGTTTGGGAACGTCTCGATGACGAGGTCTCGGAACTCGAGTAAGGCCCCGACCTCATTCTGGAGCTCCTGTGGTAAATAAAAAAATCGTAACAGTAATTACCTTATTAGAAAATAGCGATACAGTCTCTTAAGATTTATTACGGTATGATAATAATTATTGTAAAAAGACCTGTAAAAATGTCATTCCATAGATTACCTCATAGAGAGGAATCTGCCATAGTTGCCACGCTTAGCAGGCGGGTTGGCAAGTTTCTTATAATTTTGAGTTGTTAGCGCATCTTCTGTTTCAATTTCCCTCTGTAACCTCTTAACGACACCCACGGGACGATATGGGGAAGTGGATATTCTTACACCGTCACTACACGGTTCGCTGTGATAATACGCTTTACGAATTCTGATAAAATATTAAAAAACATACTAAATGTTACATTTAGAAACAGACTGCTTAAAGATTTCAATAAAAACTAAAGGGAGTTTTAAAAGTAGTTTTACGAACATTTTAAGCTAGTTTTCTTATCAGAAGGTAAGCGTTATTTTTTAAACATTTCCTAATGACACACTGTTATCGCCAGCTGCCAGCTATAAATGGCTAGCTACATATAGTGTTACTTTTCATTCAGACACTAACAATTGAAAGTTGATTGATAGTTAAAAACGTAAGTGTCACACAATAGTGCCTTCGGAGTCACTTTATTTATCATTGAATTTCGATATAATTGACCTTCTACTATCCACAGAACAGAAGTATGTCGCCATCTTAATACATGTTCACCACTTGGATTCTTCCAGATTCTTAAATATAAAAAATATTTTAACTTTTATGACTACCCCTCAGACCAACAAAGAAAGATGGACGGAGCGCGGGGTACATCTTATGTGACACTGAAATCGAGACCATGTTCAACTTCCTCACGCACACATCTTTCTTCTATCTTTCTTTAACAGCCCGTAAAACTCCGCAACTTGAACATAATATGCACTTAAAACATGGCTTTAGTTAGTTGCAAAACTATTTCAGATGCATGTGTGCAAGAGTGCGTGTTCTTACATTAAGTTCAGCATGTTTGTGGCTTTTGGTTCTTGTACTTTTTTATTCTGTGCTTTTGGTGCTTGTCTTTCTTTGTTGATCCGTGGTAATATTATAAAAATCACAAGCGCTTTGTATACAGTTGCGCGAGTGCGTCGTAAACACACCTGCAAGGCGACGAGCGATTTAGCCTGCTCCGAGATGAGGTAGTGGAAGGGGCCGGGCTGAGAGCGCAGCTGCATGCACTCCATGCCCGAGCCGCCGGAGCCACTGTCCGCACCGCCCGTCTGGAAACAAACATATTGTGTTATTAACACATTATGAAGAATTATGGCCTATAGATTTTATTTTGAGGTCAAGAAGGGTGTTTGTGTAACAGACTATAGCGTGGTGAGCCGTGATTTTTTGTATCTGAGTACTAATAGTTACGTAGTAACTTATCTAATCTGTGCTTATGGGCCCCATCCTAAAAAAATGTTAATAAGGAAAATACAAAAATAAGCTAATATAAAAAAAATAGTTTTTGAGTGTGGCAGTGTTTTAAAATATATTTCCTCACAAAACTTGGGTTGTCTGGAGCGGTAAGATCACCCCCCTCCTATTGTTACCCCATCTGCGCACCCATAATATGACGCAGGACATTAAACCGTTACCTATTGAACTACTGCCAAAGACCTAGCCTAGGCCAGCTTGTTAATAAAATGGCAAATTATTGATATTTAGGTTCAGAGGAATCGTGACTTAGTCTCTTACGCTGCATCCGAGTATTTATTTGGTCTATATCATCGGCTAAGGTCATTCTAAGATTCTAAGATGAGAGAGACTTATGTTTGTATTTACATTTATGACATTCAAGTACCTTCTTAGGTACTTGAAAAACTTTCAGCTTTAGCAAGTCCATCACCAAGAAATATTTATACCTCATTATTTTCAATATATTTTAAAAACGAATGAATAATATTATTGTTTACAATGCGTGAATATGTGACAGTTAAATGTAAATGAAAAAAAATATATACTATAATAATAAGAAATGTTTAACATCCATACGTTGATAAATTACTAAGTTATTTCTGCTTCTGCCATTTCAAGGTACATTATTTGCACAGACGCAAAAACGTGGTAATTTGCCACTCGTCATGTTTCATTCGATGTTGAAACGTTTCCTGCCGAGCCAGCCTTTACATCATAAAGAACCAAATAGAATTTTTTTACATACCCACATAGACATTCGTCAGATGCGAACACAAAATTATGATATGAAAACGTATTGATTTATATAATAACTCACTGTGAAAACGTTTAACATCAAAGCGAGATAGAATACAGAAGCATTGAACATTTTTATTTAATGACGATTATTAGGTAATACTTATTTATGCTTTTATTTACTATTGGTTCGTAACATACCTCTATCCTAAAGGGAACTAGCAAAAATCCTAGAGTTATTGTTTATTAAAAACTAGCGATCCTACCCGCCTTCGCACGTGCTATTTCTGGATCTCGACAATAGCGCCACCTACCGCGTCCTATTGTGAATCTAAGCCATTCAAGGACCTTGTACGTTATACGAGCTAAGGTCATGCTGCAGCTACATTAGTACTATAAATGTAGCAGGTTGACTCGACCGGGGAAGGACCACGCGATCACAGAATACTATCGTAAAATAGCAGCTTAACACTGCTGTGTTTCGTCTGGTGAGTGGTGAGTGAGTGAGAACCGGAGACCCTTTTTACTGGAAAAGAGGATTAAGATGGAATATCTTAGTCCTCACGGGTGACAACGTATCTGCATTTTGATTCTTTATTGAAGATAGATATAGATGTCTATGTGTCACAGCAACCGCTTACCATGAGGTGGATTGTGTCAAGAACAGTTTTGTCACCCTATCCTATAAAAAGAAATATTATAGATACATACTACTTTTCATAATTTTATGTTAGTAAATAAATAAATATATTATTGATAATCATTCATCATATCCTCTCCGTATCCTAAAGCTGATCAATTCACCAACATGTTTATTTATAATCGAAACCGCTTACCATCGATTTGTTGGCTCGTTAGTTACTCTTATTCACATAAAATGCTGCCTTCGACTGCTCGAATGTAATCAGTAGGAGGTAAACAGCTGTATTAGAAGGTAAACATATAAAAACTGGTACGTAGCGATGTCGCCGAGTGGCGTTAAATTGCCGCACGCTTGAGTGCTCCCGCCCCGGACATTGTCTCTTCCTGCGCCCATTGTGGGCTTTTGTTGCCTCAAACGTTTCTCTTAACAATTTTAAACATTCAAATTGCTTGTACTTAGAAGCTAAATGTATCAGGTAAAATGAAAACTAGAGTAATTACAAATGTATCAGCATCATCAAAATACGGCTACCTGACTCACATCTAACATCATTATGATTTATTGTACTCAGTATTTATATTTTGTTTTTATTGTATGGTGACAAACGAAAATAAATTCCAAACGGGCACTTACTGCGTAGAGAGGCTAAAAAACCTTAAGTAATTTGACAATTCATTATCCTTGTTTCTATTGTATCATTAAAAAACTTTTTGTAGCCAAAAGGCTATTGGAGAGAGGTGAAATACGCACAAAAGAATAGTGTTATAAAATAAACCTCTTATAAAGTATTTAGGTATAGCTATATTGTATGTGCCTATATCACTTAATTTGTGCCACCTACATAAGCAACTAATAAAAAAATTGAAGCCCTGTTGATGGCATTATCATTTTATTTAATAGTTGTAAACCATTTGATATGATGGCGTGTTTACAATCAAATTTCCAATTTAGAAGTATTTAACCTAGAATTGGAACAGCTTTGATGAATAACGGTAGGTACTATAATCTTGTAAGTTGCAGGGTTTATTAGTGATTTCTGTAAAATGGTCGTCATTATAAGGTCAATTTCTTAAGTAACCTGGCTAAGGCGGTGAAGATGATAAATGTAATGTACTTATTTAATAACAGAAATTATGATGTAGGACCTAGGTTGTAGTGGCGTAGCAGGGTGTGGCCAGAAGGCTATGAACCCCGGGCAGCAGATTTTAGGTGGTGGCGGCATTTTGGGAAGAAAAGTCAAGCAGTCACCATATTTTCTTGAAGTTTTTTTTTTTAATTTTTTTGAGGAAAACTTCACATTCCACATACTTAGACGACAGAAAAATATTTCTAATAAAGTAATAATTATAGTAAACTCCTATGAAACGAATAACTACACCTGAGATCGTTCGAGAGAGCAAACATAAAAAATACACTTACATGATAAGAATTTTGAAAAAAAAAATTAATTAAGCACATTCTCCTTATTATTTATAACTGTAATCAATAATGAAATTTTAAATAATCTCTGTTTATTTTGCGCCAAAATAAGAGCGCGAATGGGTTAATTCAGTGAATCTAAAAAATATTTTATATCAATTCATGTTATGTGCCTGAGATATCTGATGACCGGATAACGGAATTTTAGCATTAGAAACAAAAGAAAACGATCGTTATCTCCAATTTTCACCATCGCGCACATTCTAATGCCAATTCAAGTGTTGATAAGAAATTTTAGTTTTGTATTCCAACAGTCAAAAGAATTTTGGGCTAGGTTTCGTCGGTTTATATATATTTTACATAAAGTTTACATATAATTACAGCGCAGTTTCTGAATGCGGGAGGAAAACCGGTACTTGAAGTACTTCAGATACTCTCTAATTCCATCCTCCATGATAGCCATCCGTCCGGAGGCGTGGAGCAGAAGTGCGGTGGTCTTGTTCTTTAAGAAAAGCGATAACAATATAATATATATTATATTGTTGTGTATATAAGACAGAGTGACGTTATATCCCCGAAACTCTTCACCGCTGCATTGGAAGACGTTTTCAAGCCGGAAGACTAGAAAGGATATGGTATCAACATCAACGGCGAGTACATCACTCACCTTCGATTTGCCGAAGATATAGTTCTTATGGCAAAATCGCTGGAGGACCTAAGCACTATGCTCAATGACCTCAATAGTGCCTACCAACGGCTAGGTTTTGAGATGAACATGGACCAAACAAAGATCATCTGTAACGTCCATGTCACAACTTCGACCGAGAGGTCATTCGACGGATTCAACTTGGTTGGGCAGCGTTCGGGAGACTACGACACATCTTCTCGTCAGGTCTCAAAACTTGAAAACGAGATTGTATAACCAGTGCGTGTTGCCCGTGATGATTTATGGATCTGAGACGTAGTCCTGCACTGCAGGCCGTATGAGCAAGCTATGCAGAGGGCTATCCTTGGGGTTTATCTGCATGATGAACTTAGAAATGAGGATATCCGTAATAGAACCATAAGAACCGACATTGCCCAACGGTATTAGTAAGCTTAAGTGGCAAATGGGCCGGGCATATAGCTCGAAGAACCGACAACCGATGGGAAGAAAGGTTCTCGAGTGGCAGCCTCGTACTGGTAGGCGAAGTGTAGGGCGACCCCCCACTAGATGGAGTGACGACCTGGTAAGACATGCAGAAAGTCGACGGATGCAGGTGGCTCAGGACCGTGCTTTGTGGCATTCTTTGGTGGAGGCCTATGGTCAGCCGTGGACTTGTGAAGGGTTGTAATGATGATCCACAGAAATCTGAATTTAATGATCTTTATTTTGATTTTCGTGATAAGATACCTAGTGAAAGATCACTTTTTGTTTAGATTAAGCGGTTTAGTAAAGTTAAATATTTTACAACCAAAAAGGGTCCATCGCAAATGTTTTCCTGTTCAGAAGTTTGTTAAATGATGCCAGAGATAATCATAAAACAAAAGTAAATGGGTTTTTTATTACTTATCAATAAGGAAGTAATAAATACACGTGTGTCGCTGAGTCAGCGTGTTGGGATATAAAAGTATTCCAATATTAAGATCACTTTAGAATATAATTAGAAAAAAAAATTCTCATTTCGTCAACGGCGACATTTTCTACCTGGCTGTGTTGGGCCACAAAAGAGTAGTATAGTGGGAATGTCAGAAAGATATAATGGTCTGCGATAGATTGAAATATAACGACTTTATTACATTGAAGCATATTCAGACCGGCGACAGGAAGCAGCGGTAAAGTGTGACGCGTCTGACTTTACGGTCACCAATCCGTATGGCAATTACATAGGATTGGAAGATGCTAATAGCTGCTATTAGCCGACAACGTAAGATCGTTCCGATGTTTTTGTCTTCTTTTCTCGCATAAATAGAAAGGTGGCCGGGCAGGCCGTGCTCATT